GATTGGCTGGACGTGATGAATATATTAACGATGCGGCGCAAAGTCCCTTTCTCGCTTAATTTTATGGGCTTTCCGGGGTCTAAATGGTCATAGGGGGCATTAGAACACAACTGGCTTTAGCGGAGTTAAAGAGTAATAGCAAACTGACATGGGGGGAAAAAAAAAAAAAAAATTAAGCTCATATGCCTCACCCTATCTTGAAAACCAGAGGGCTTCCAGAGGTTTAAAAGGCTGTGGGTGGAGAACTAATCCCGTGTTGTATGAAAGGAGAGAAGGTTAGCACTCCCCTTGATAAGGATGGAAGAGGCCCCAGTGGCCTATACAACACGCATACGGTTAAGGCACTGCCACTTACTTCGTGGCATCTAACCATGTTTTTTTTTTTTTTTTTTTTTTTCCCTTTTTTCCGGAGGTTTTGGGGGCGAGGAACTGCAGCTTCTCCTTTCTACCCACAGGGCTCCTTTTCCACCCACAGATTCTCCTTTTTCACCCCACGACACTATGCTCCCGAAACACACCCAGCCGGCAGATGAATGCCTGCCTGTCTCGCGTTAGGGACACGCAGCGTGTTTTGCATTACGCAGGTCTCCTCCGTGGGTAGCCAGTGCCTGCCATTCCAAGCATTTCAGAAACAATGGGAAAATGTTCGTTTTAGAGGCTCATCTTTAGCTGTAGTGGGCTAAGCTGCGAAGAGGGCTCAGGGAAGGAAGGCCTCCAAATTATGGCCACAACAAGCAGCTCTGCATAGCCCACTCCCGGGTCCCATCAGGCCAGGAGGGTGGCTGGGTCACAGCACCAAAGACAGTTTGATGGAAGGTCATTTTTTTGGATGAAAGGAATGAATATGACTTTGCTGCTCCCATGCTAACCTTGAGATGCCTGCCTGGGTGCAAAGGACAGCACAGTACACAAAAACATTGGTTGGGGGAAAACCCCTTACTCTTAGATGAATCGAAAGGGCTCAAGGCAATGGCCTCCATACAGCTAGCAAAATATGTCGTCCCCAGTATTTAAATCCTACTTGCATTGCGAGTGTTTCTCTTAGGAAACAGCAGCGTGTGCTCTTTCAGGGTTCCTATGAAGCTGAGCTACCAGCTTCCTAACATCTAGCCAGCGACTGCCAATTGGTGGCCCCCGACAGTTGAACAGATGGGCCCACCCCACAAGCAAACCTGCCGCGGGAGCCGTGAGACTCACCTCTTTCACGCTGGTGCGAGATAATAATGACAACCAGGCCCTTGTCAATCACACCACACAGCTCTGCCGCCAGCTTTCCCTTTTTTCCCCCTCCAGGAAGTGGAACTGCTGCAGAGGTGGCCACTCTGCCTCAACAACTGTAATGCACAGAGGAGGAAGAAAATACCTTTTACTGCTTTCCTGGGTTAGTTATTTCTGTAGGGAGGGCAGCACTGTGCAAGGGCAGGAAGATGTTTTTATTACAGAGTCTGGAGGTTAACATAGCACTTTCCCTCTGCAGGTTTCAACACGCTCCAACCGCCGACAACCCGCACTTAACACAGGCAAAGGGTACGACTCTGCCATTTCACAGGGGCAAACAAGCCCAGCCGCTGCAACTGCCTTGTTTTCAGTACAGGCTTGAGCTGTACCATGCGCCTGAAGCGATTAGACAGATAATCCTGGCCGTCACTGCCGTGCCAGGCACTTCCAGGCAGGAAGGTGAGGTAAAGTTACAACAAAGTAGAGCTCATGCCTTTAGGTCCCAGCATTATTATTCCCAGGTGGGGTAACAAGGCCTTAAACATAACCTCTCCAAGGAAGGATGGTTGGGGGAGTAGCTCTTTTTACACCAAGGCTGTTCAGTTTGGGGAGAGGACAGTGCAGTGTCAGCAGCAGAAAGCTGAAGGCACCAGGAATACTGCTCATGGGATATTTCCAGCAGGCAGCAGGGAGACCATCTCCCTTCACCATAGCTCTTCTGCTCAGAGGTGTATGGCTGGGAGAGCCCTAGCACAGCTGGGGCATGCAAACTACTAGGAACACAGTTACACAGGCAGCAGCTCCAGCTCTGTGCTGCAAAGCATTACTGAATCTACAGGGAAGTGCTTTGCTGGTATAACACACCAATTTCCTTGACATTTGTAAAGAAGCACAGCCACATCTTGTGATTTACAAGTTTCACCGGACTGTGTGAGAGACACTGAAAAGCTTCATGAAGTTATTCTTAAAAGTCTGATAATTTCAGCAGTAAGGCTCAGTACGTCTAGAGAGGGTAGCCTTTCCTGGGGGTAATGAAAGGACAGTGATATCGATAGCTAGTGTAGCATCAGGTCAATGTGAACTCTACTTTTTTATTAACAAAAAAAAAAAAACCTATACCTCACAGCATACCATTAACGTGCAGCTGTCCTCTTTAAAGAAAGAGTAAGGAAGTCCCTGAGCAGCTATTAGAGAAGAGGTTTAAACGACAATGAATTTTCAGGTACTGGCAAGGGCACGTGGTTGATACCAAAATGCGTTTTTGCTTCATCAGGAGCAAAATATCCCCTTATGGCAGAACTCTTTATGTAAAGCGAAGCTTCCGCCAGAATACAATTCTTAACTAATAAAAGCTAAATCCTATACTGTCACTTAGATGGCCCTGCCCCTTCTGAATGCAGAGACAGCAGCAGAATTCCTTTCCCCTTAGCTAAAGGTCCCTGTGAGGGTTTGTACTAATGTTGCCTCAGCTGAGGACACCTTCAGTTCAATCCTCTTACTTTCTCTAAACAAGTTTTGACTGGAGTTACGCTCCTCCTTTCCTTCTTCAGAACAGATCTAAGCACCAATCTGTTTCTCCTCTTTTCTCCCTCCTTCTACAGGAGTACTTTCTTTTAAAGGTGTTTTAAGAGAGGCTTCCTGGGACACAGACACTTCACATTAGTACACTCTCACCACAAGCATACACATAAAATCCCACCTTTTTATTATGGCATATGGTACTTGTTTGGATGTGTAAATACCACATGAGTATGACAAAAGGGGAAAGAAATACCAATGCTGAAATAGATACAGAGTCATGCCATTATCAATACAGTTTCATACGATGGATTCTCAAGATACAAAAGTCTGGGTTTTCTCTTTTTACATTGAAATAACTTTACAGTGTTCCGTGAGCTTGCTTTTTATCCAGAGGAGAAAAAAATTAAAATATGCTGAGAACAACTACAAGCAGGAATCATTTTAATGGTTAACAGAAGAACTGTAACTTTGCTCTAGAACAGCATCTATTAAACACACGTAACAAGAGGTAAGCAACTATACAGAAGGTAAGAGGAGATTTCACCACAGGAGTCAAGTCAAGGGCAGGAAAGGGGAATCTGGAACTGCATGGTTTTATTTGGTCACAAAATTTGAGCTGAGTGTTTAAAATGAAGCACCCTTAAAGATGCAGCACTCCTATTTAAAACAATACAGAAACTTCCAATAGACTAGAATCTACATTCTGAAAAAAAAAATAAAAAAATTAGACATTTAAAAAAAATCCACATATCTCTAGGCTCATGACTTAACTTACTGTTACAAAGCAGACTGGCAGCTCTTCCTTAAGCAGCAACAGTGCCCAGAAGTAATGCCACCATAAAGTACAGTATCTTTGGGGAGTCCAATACAAGGCTGACACTTCTAACACGATGTCAGAACGATCCATTTGTCTGCCAAAAGATTAGGCAAGAGAAGGAGACACTGCATCTTTTTTTCCACCACGCTGCCCGGTTCTAGCAAAGAGCTAAGACGTTTTCTTTGGGCCAAGACTAACAGAAACCACTTTATCAAATATTCTTCAGGTTTCCTGCCAAACTGGATTTATTATTCTCATGTGGTTTTTAATATTTTTTTTAAAAACAATTTTTCCTGACAGTCTCTAAAGTGATACTGGAACATTTAACAGTCACTCTTCCACAGTTTAATTGTTTTGTCGTTTTCTAGTGCCGCTGATGCAATGATGTTTTCTGTTGGGTGACAAGCTGTTGAGATTACAACATCTACACAAAAAGAGAAGATATACAAATATCGTTATTTACAGC